CCGTGTGCGCCAGCGCACATCACCGCAGGGCTTTCCAGGTGCCAGGGGTCCTCCCCCTTAGGGTACTCTTAATCCTAGCATCGCACAGTGAATCAATCCCAGCATCACACACCCTGTATCCAGCCACCTCTAAAAAAGCCCCACCTATGACTGCATGAGGCTTTGGGGAACATCTAGATACAATCCATAACAGTACATTAGAAGTTACTTTCTAAGAGTGAGTAGTAACTCAGTATAAAAAGACAGAAAGATATATCAATAAACTGGCAATTTATAAGAGAATTACAACTTTCCAGTAAATGTAAGAATGTCTACTCTTACTAATAAATATATATTAAAATAACATGCAGCTTTTGTCCTCAAAACTTATAAATGTGGACAAATAATACCCTGTTGTTGGTATGTTAGAAAAGTCTTAATAAATTAACATAGAATTAAAGTTTAACAAAGAGCACTGTGTATACTTTTTTTTGTAACAAATTTAAAAGACCAGGAAATAAGCAGATTATCTTGAAAGATGAAGAACAGCAATGCATAAAAAAAGGAAAGTGTCAAGAACCCTAATGCTTAGGTTAATTGGACATAAGAAATAAAACCAGAAATATAAATTAATTAGCCACTGCATCATAATAATTCTGTCATATTTAACTATGAAATAATGAAGTATAGATTGAAATTTATGTGAGTATAGTAATGGATGCATCTGACATGAAACTTATTTTTTCCAAGTGTAAAGTACAGTTCATCTAGCTTTCTGCGATTTACCAGAAGAATAAGTGTCTGTCCAACAGTGTGATAGAAAATTGTCTACTAGTATATTATGGTTAATTTTTCCTATGATTTTTCTGTGTAGAAGAGCCTACCTCTCTTCTTTCCAGCTATTCTTACCTGATAGCTATTAGCTGTGCTGCACGTATATCCAAATTGTATCTATATTCACTCATGTATTTTAAATAACTAGTTTAAATTGCAATGAAATTGCACCCTGGGTTTTGCATTCATTTACCGAACCCTGCTATGGCAGTCTCAGTACTTATTCAATGCTTGCTAGTGGATTACTTATAGCTGTCCTACTCAAGAGATCATGTAAATCCTCCTTTCATTTTGAGAATTGTAGGTTTTGAATACAGAAAACATTTTTGTAATACCTATATTATCACAGTGTTATGGTTCTGACACTATTTTTATTAAAACTTGCCATTTACAGGAATTTAGACTTGAATCACTTTAAAATCTCACTAGGTGCTGAAACTATGTGCTTGAGCGATAGGTGTGGATGGGAGGCTTCTGCTTTATTGTTGAGTTTCAATATTTTTAGATGTAATACTGCCCCTTTTTCTTCCTGTTTTTTTTTTTTTTGGTTTTTCTCCGGTCCCGGGAACCGAACTCACGACCTTGCGCTTGCCAGGCAGGCGCTTTTTGCTGCTGAGCTAAATCCCCAGCCCCTCCTGTGTTTTCAAAATTAACAAAAATAAGACTCCTGGTACATATTATCTGTAAATTCAATAAGTTATTTTTTTAAATTTGAAGTCCTGGCTATATTGTAGAGAAACTACATAAAATAATGTAGACTTAAATTAATCTATTGCCATTATCATAAAATAGTCAGTAGCTGACATGATTAACTGATGACAGAACATTAGATTATTTCATATGGAAGTCAGTTTTCTTTTAATTTGAAATGTCACAAAATCATAATTTAGGTATGGATTTGTGAGCCTTTTCTTTTAGTTGCCATATTATCATGGGAATGGAGGAAAATTCTTGCTTTTCATATTCTCTTTGTGAGTTACTTCATTCTTCATTTCTTTCTTGTAAGTCTTTTAGAGATTTGTTTGTTTGTTTTTCAGTACAGGGTATTGAACCCCGAACCTTCACACTGAGCTATATCTCTAGCCCCCACATAATTTTTGAGACAGGTTCTCACTAAATCTTTATTGCCTATTTATTTCACTTAAGAGTATGGTCTCAAGGTGCATCCATTTACCTAGAACTGTCTCGAGTTTATCTTTCTTTATGACTGAGTAATACTCCATTGATAAAAAACCCATATCTTCTATATCCATTCATCTGTTAATGGACATTTGGGCTGATTTTTAAATTTTCATTGGAAATATTATATTTCATTCATTTTCTGTCCTAAGAATTAGCATTTTAAAATTTTAACCTAAATTTTGTTAAGTATAAACTTATGTAATCTTATTTCTGTTTATATTTTTATTTCCTGTTAAAAACCCAATTGATCCTTCTCATACTATATTTACTATACAATTTTGATTCTCATTTTAAATGTGTTACTTTGAGTAGCTATATTTCAGTACCAGTTGTCTTTTGAAATGAGAATTCCTTATACTCATTCAAAGGCAAACTTTTAAATCTATTCTGAAATTTTTTAGAAAAGATTCTCAATGAATTGTTAACTATAGTTACTTCAGTTGAAATTAAATCAGGAGATTTTTACTTCATATCTCCCTATATGGATGTAGATTATATAGATATAGACATGGATATAGATAATATAGGTAGTGTACATAGATACAAGTGGTAACTTGGTTCATGAATTTAACTCGTTTCATAATTTGGGGGATGATGGCCATGGTCATGTTTATCATTCAATCCAAAGTTCACAAATGGAAGCAAAATTTTGCTAAGTGCCTTTGTTCATGAACAGAATTGTGAGTTTATAGGGTTTATAGTTTAATGACAGAGGTAGGACTGATATAGACAAAAGGAATGCATATAGATAGAAAGGAAAAGGTCCTTTCAGCTGAGTCTAGAACTAAGTTTTAATTTGGAGGAGTTTTAATTTGATTCAGGAGGAATTGAGCATAGTAAGTTTTGCAGAAGAGAATTAATGATATGTGAGGGGAAAAAACCCAGCTACTTTTGGCAAGTGCATTGGGTAAGGTAGGATTATTTTGTGTCATGAGGGAGCTCCAAGCCACATCTTTGACTGTGAATATGTGAAGCAAAGAACAGAGGTATCTGATGACATCAATTTATTTTGAATTTTTTTGGTTATGCTTTCTGAATATTGAATTCTGAAGTTGTCCATAACCAGAGATATGTGTTTACTAAAGAGGTAAAATAAGTTTTCTATCTTCCTATTTTTCCTAAAATTTTTTTAAAAAAATATTAGACTTTAAATATGAAAACATAGGGGCTGGGGATTTAGCTCAGCGGCAAAGCGCCTGCCTGGCAAGCGCAAGGTCGTGAGTTCGGTTCCCGGTGCCGGAGAAAAACCAAAAAAAAAAAAAAAACAACAACAACAACAAAAAAAGATGAGCATATAGTTTTAAAGTCACTATCCTATGTTCCTTGGGATGAGATTGTTATATATTGAAAAATTTAAA